TGCGTTTCCAACGTATTTCACAACCCTTTTCAGAGAAGGCACTGCAGAAGACCCGATAACATCACTCCAACATACAACTATTTTCAATAAATCATTGTATCTGCTTTTACAGCCCCAATCAAAATTAATTACAATCCTAGCTGAAGAAATTGTCATGGCACTTACAGTGAATTACTGCCATACAAGAGAGTTCTTCCCAAACTTCAAGCTTAGCCTGTGCAACTTAGCTATAAAAATTCACTCCAACAGCCTGACTCAACTTTCTTACAGCCTCCCGCAGCTCCCCAGCGACGTCTCTGTCGCAGCCCAGGCTCCTGCCAACACCCTGCCCCGGGCGCGGGCACACGCGCTGCCTGCGGCTGCGGCTACAGGGACATGAGCATCTGGCCCGTGTGCTCCTGCTGGGGGGGGAGGGACAATCCCCGGCTTCCCCCCAGCCTGGCCCCAGGGCAGCACAGGAATCATCGTGGAGATAAAAGAGCCTTGGGGCAATGGGTGAAAGCAGCCAATGATGCTCAAGTGTACAACGAACGGAAGGAAGAATTCTACAGGACTTCAACAAAAAAGGAACTTTTGAAAAACACCCTGTATCTGTTTAAAATTACATTACAAAAAAGGTATAATGAATGTCCCTATGTTCAAAAAAAGGATGTATTCTCTTACTGTAAACTCTTGGCAGACTGAACACTCTAGTCTACAGGATAACAACCATACATTTAAGCTACCACTTCCCATTCATACACAAATTAATAATTCACTGCCACAGGGAAAAATGAGCCAAATCATACATCATTCTTACAGCAGCTAATTGGGCATGGAGCGGGCCAGCTCTGGTGGTAAATGGTAAATAATGCATATAGTATATCAAATTTTGCATGTAGATAGACAAGTTAATTTGCTTCCCACTAAAGAAAAAGAAGTAAACCATTTATCTCAACAGTAACACGCAAGATTCCCTTCACACACCCGTACCATTACATATGTCCATCATACAGAAAATACTTATTAACAAGCATCACATTTCAAGACGTGTCTGTGTACATGTGTATTTATATATATGCATACATATAGAGAATCTTACAATTCAAATAAAATTCAATGTGAATACACAGATATTGAAGCTTCCAAGAATAACATATGTATGTAAAGTTTTCTAAAAGACTGAAACAGGGTTGCCTCTGTATCAAAGGCTTCTCAATTAAATGCCATTTGTTTGCAGGTTTTAGGAAAATTAAATGCAATTCATTGGCAACATCCAACTGCTTTTTCATGTAAAAATGAAGCCACTCACTACTGGAAAGTTAGGGAGTGGAACCAGCTGCAGAGTGGTTTGGTTGGTTGGTTGGTTGTGTTTTGGGTGTTGTTTTGTTTTGGTTTTTTTTAAACAAAACATTAAGCTGTTCTTAGGGGCCTTTGAGTTTAAAACAAGAAAGAAATGACTCTCTGCTTTTCTCCTTCCCCAGAGGCAAATACCTCATACACATCCAAGCAATTCTGGAGCAACCTGTGCTCGCTAGTGCTCTCCCCGTAGCACAACTGCTCCTCAGCTACAATCATTCACTCACAGCTCCACAGAAGACTTGGTATCAACAGAAGATATTTAGACTTCAGAGCATGAAAACTGAACACACTTACTGTATATAGAATAACACTTACTTTTTTTTTTTTTTTAAGGTAGTTAGAAAAATTACAAAAATCACCTTGACAAAACACCAGTGACATTGCACATTGATGTTGAGGTGTAATGACCTAAATACTCTCTACTTTTTCTGCAGTTCTAATAACACACTTAGATATTCAACCGTTTTCTACTCTCCTTTACAATCAGAAGAGGAAAAGAAATCCCTTACGTGTTTTCCTGGCTGACGCTGAAGGAACTCGTCAACCCACAGCGGGATGCAGTGAGATCCAAAACTGCACTCTTTGTAGTTGAAAAGGAAAGTCTCTAGCCAACTGGAAGTGACTTCTGATGGAAACTTTATGATTTTTCTTTTCCAACAGATTAATTGAAGGAAAAGTTTAACTTGCTGTTTCATTCTGGTATCTACTGGCAACTGATATTCAGTGATAACTGATATACTTGCGACTTAGGAGTAAAAGCTTTTCTCCTTCATGCAAATAGCATCACACATTTGGTATTGATAACACAGAGCGATTTGGCCTGAATTCCAAATTATCTAAGGATCCAAATTCACGATACTGATTATTTTTCAAATCTCATGTTTTCTAAGACAAGCTGGAATTCACAGTCCCTCACATTCCCTTGCATGTTTGAACCCTTAGAAAATAGCTGGTTCGTGTTTCAAAGGGTCTGATTTTCTAATCACAAGGACTAGAATTTTCTCCTTAGTATTTTATGTTTATCATTCAAAATTCTCATGTAATCCACAGCCTCCAAATGCTGAGGAATTGTCACAGATGCCACAATATCAAATATCTGTGAGAGAACTCCCCAACCCACTGTAAATCAGCGTAAGGTCCGCAAGGGCTGCCCACATGGCAGCCACCTCATGTAATGGTCCCGTCAGGGTCCTAATCAGCATCTAGGAACAGATTTCCAAATGCATATAGGCAACTAACAACCGGCAAGCCCCGTGTTCCCAAAAGCATTAATTTCTCTGACACCAAGCCATGAAATACAACAGTCCAAACCCACAAGTGAGTAACCTGCATCCCCATCACTGAGCAAGTGCACCATGGTGCGGCTAATGTCAATGCACCACGCAGTGCCCTGACATGGAGCATCACCGTAGACAAATTGGCTTAAAAATCACACTCCCAGATTATTCCCATTCTGGGTAACACCACGTGGCTGTGGGCTCCAGGGGGTAGTAACGCCATAGCCCAGGGCTCTTGCTGGCAGATGGTGCCAAGGCAGATGTGACAAGGGGAGCAGCAAGGCACCACACTTCAGGGTGTAGAGTAAAAGCACAGTGGAGCAACCCTTTGCATTTCTGCCTATGGTCTTTCTGTGTTGCCCCCAAATAAATCCAGCACTGTTTACAGAAATTCAGACTGTCCTTAATAAATAACAAATAAAAAGACAACAAAAACCCCAACAAAGGTATTCTTTGCATAACCCACACCTGCACATGACTTAGGGAGATAGGATCTCTTCAGCAGATCCCAGCATGTTAGAGGAAAGACCACGATTAAAAATGAAACAATGACAACATTTATGTCCAGTTGTGCTCTGTCCTGGCCTGCTTGGTGAAAAGAGCAGGCTGCGTCAGTCAGAAGGATCGCACCCACCCCCACAGCAGGAACACACCCCACGCTTCTAAGTATTTGCTCCAGAAGTGGAAATCCCAAACCCAAATCATCCGCCGTAGTCCTTTGTAGCGCAGGCAGGAGGCATCTCAGTACCTGTGTGTGAGGAGAGCTGGTGTCTTCCTTCTCCCCCTCCCACGCTCAAGCAGCCCTCAGTTAAGAGCTGGCAGTCAAACCTCTCCATTGTCAGCAGGGACATCTGGCTGAGAGGATGAAAAGGGATTTCACACACTGATTCACAGCAGCTTTCGTGGCAGAGCATCCAAAGAAGTAAAGAAACTAACACATGATTACAGCTCTGAGCAGAAAAAAAAAAAAATTATTTGTCAAAAGTTGAAGGAAGTTTTGACTTATTTTGCCTTCGGTCAAAAAGACAGACACATGCGTAGCAGGACTCGGATTTTTTTTTTTTTCTGACCAACATATAGCCCACACATGACCCTCCACTTCCGAATGAGCCTTATGGGGGAAAAAAAAAGTTCATTTTTAGAGCCATATTTGGAAACACTGGATCATCCAAAGATTCGGAGAGAAACAGTTCTGGAAGCTGCTGGCCTGGTGTTCTACTCCCCATCCCACCATCCAATGCCACACCTCAGCCACTCTGCGTTTTCTGTAAGTAGGGCAAGATACTGCTCCCACTCAGCTGAGCTCATTTCAGCTGGCCAGGTGTGTCTCATCTCTCTGCCATCTCCTGCAAAGCAGAAATTATAAATTGTGTCCACACAGAGCAAAGTTTAAAAAAAGAATCTCACAGGAATAATTTACCTACATATTTAAAAGAAAATAATTTTAAAATACTACAGGTAATTCTCATGGAGGCTGATGTAATACTAAAGCGAAATAAACAAACATTTTCATTCCACTAAACGAAATGAACACAGAACCCGCACATATAACACAAAACCACAGAGTTTGCATTGGAAAGACAGCTTAAAACTCCCAAGCTTTAACTCAAAACATTTTTTTTTTTTATTAAAGTATGAACGCATTTATACTGGAGAATAGTTTACATACATTGTAAAGCAACAAGCATATTTTCAAGAGGTGTGGGCCCCTCCTCAATATGTCTCCATGCTCAGTCTACATGCTTTAACACTGGACTCGCACATACACTCTCACATACAAACATAGAGACCCACAAAACACAGACATAGAGCTATCTGCTGTGATTAGCTTTCTTTTAAGGCTTCTGTAAGGTGCCCTAGTGCCCCTAACATTACCATAATTATAAACAAAATTGTATAAAGGAGCAGCATTACTTGCCATCTATTGATCTGCTCTCAGCCTTAAAAAATATCAAGTGAAACAAGTTTTTCCTTTTATTTGAGTTTTATTAAACATCTGCATTTAAGAAAGGCATGACTCTGTATACCTGTGAACAAGGAAAGATACGGGAATCTTAACATGAGCTTCTTGAGCAGAACAGATGTTCAAACCTGACTCCTAAGGGACCATTTCCTTTGATTTTTACAGTAACAAAGCCCTGGCTGTGCGATGAGGCACTATCAGTGCCATCCCACCAGGGCCACTCGACCAGCAATACGGAGACCGCTAACGCGGAGTTGAGGCTACCATGCTCATATCACTTCAGACCTGAGGTTGATGAGAAGTCACAGTTCAAACACCAACAGACCCAAGTGTCCCTCAGCTCTTACCAGCGGCACCACCTCCCACAGAGCACATCTGGGTTGGAAAACGCGCAGACAGCGGTGCTGGCTCGCTGTACCCCCAGTCATCGCGGAGTATTTTTGCCCGCCCCTTTTTGGTATCCTGCAATATATAGTCTGAAACTGCAACTATTGGTGTTGGGTGAAAGACGTGGCAGCAGGTATATTAAGAAAATAGGTACAATGAATAAAATAAAGGATAGCATATGATATAATGTGTACATACAAGCATCTTCTTTCATTTTTTAATCTGTGAAATGTGAATTAACTGCAGAATGCCAGGCCATTAGTCTAAAAGGCTATGTATGGCTGTCTTAGCCTACGTATGGTCAAAGGATTTTTGTGATGCATCATGGAAAATGTTTCTTCGGGAACCATTAGGGCTTTCCAGGTCTACTTGGTCTTGTGCATCAGCATCAGCCCCCAGCTAGGAACGCCAGAGGAGCAACTGATAAAATTGCCTGACCAGTCTTATAAGGCAAACAGGAATGACTCTACTTCATGGTACGCACCTGAACTACAGAGATGAGAAAGGGGCAGTGATGGGTGGGTGGGACATATGGGGCGGGGAGCTTTTTTCTCACTTTTACAACAGCAGCAGATTTCAATGTAACATAATTACTTTAATAATGCATATCTGTAGGTACTGAATTGCTCTTTTGATTTAAAAAGCTGGTCAGACAAGTGTTTGGCAGTCCGTTCATTCCCCAATTTCAATTGTTGCTTATTCATCTATCAGCTCTCATTCCCTAGGCCATTTCTGCCTTTGCTGAACTGTGAATGAGTTCAGTCAGCCATCATCAGATTCAAATTCATGAGACACCTCCTCTGACGAGCTGTTCCTGTGGATCCGGCCATCGCTTTTCATGCTGTGAAAAGTCTTCTTAAAGGCCTCCATCATGGCATGGGCCAGCTTCTTGGCCTCTAGCTTGCTCTCACACTCTACAGCATGGCAGTCCATCTGGTAGGACAAGTCATCGTTGATCTCCCGATAGACCCAAGCAAAGATGTTTGGGCTGACGTTGTGGTCAGCAGTGCAGTAGGCTATACGTGCTACCTGAAAGGTATCCATGTGGACTGTCGCCTCGCCTTTGAGGTCCAGATGATGCAGCCAGACTTGGAAAGGGCGAATTTCCAGAAGAGCATTAGCTGGGTAAATATCCTCCCTGGCGAGTGTGTGCTTCTTCCATAATTCAATGACTGGTTTCTCTGTGCAGCCTGACAAAAATTGCATCCCTGTTGTGGAAACCTTACCCAAATATGTAACCTGCAAAGAAGAGCAAAGATAGGTGAAACACAGACAGCAGACTCCAGCGTTGCCTTCTGCCATCCCAGCAAACTTTCCTGTATCTAGAAAATAAAAGCACACTCCCCGCTCACTCCCCAATTTCCCCATCATCTTCAGTAAAACAGTTTTCAAACTGCTTTCCAGATATGTGCTTTATCAGATGCTGACTTCACCATTTAAACACAGATGTTAAAAATGTTCAGTCTCTTGAGTTTCAAGGGATTTCACTCTCTTCAGCTCCCCCGAAAGCACAGCTTTAGCACCCACGATGGCACCTCTAAGCACTTGCTAGCAAGACTACGTGCCAGTGGAGCAGGCCACAAGTAGCTGTGATGCTAACCACTTTTTTCTTTTCTTTCTACTGTATTCAGATAATTTATTTATATCATATTTCAAACATTAATATTAGGGAGAATGAGACGTTCTCAGTTTGATAACGCAAGGCTGCAGGGGTCAGAAAAGCATGATCAGGGCCAAGGATTTTAAACTGTTTAAATGTGGGGTTTTTTATCAAAATGATCCCATTTTTCCACCACTTCTGCTGTTTCTACTTAAGTATTAAGCCAGGAATGGCTCAAAGCTGTTCAAAACTCTATCTTTGAGCAGGGCCGAGACATTTATTACATCAATTTAAGAAAATATGCTGTTATAAAGATCTAGTAATAAATCTACCTTAGTTTAATCACATCATCTCTGTGCTTTTCTGTCTAGCTCTTTTGAGTAAATACCCTGTTATCCAATCTGCGCAGGAAAACAAGATGTTTTAGTGCCCTTACTGTATTTTTTCCACCGAAAATCAAATTCACTGAGTGGGCCATATTAAAATTCTGATTAAGCCTGTGCAGAAACGTTCCCCCAAACCTGTGCAGCTGCTAAACAGGCTTTCTTCCACTTACAGCTGAATGGAAGATTATTTTATCTGGGACAAGGTATTTTCTCTGGAAAAGACAGATCAACGCCACATAAATATAATTATACAGATTATTCTATTTATTGCTGTTGTCAGAACGGTGCATTTAAGAACAACTGTATGAAAGCAAAATTGCTTCTAATTTGTCTCCTGCAGCAGTAACTGCTTGAGACAGAATCTTGTGCTTCTTGCTTGATGTCTTGCAACTTCATGTGCATTTTACTCAAGGCATTTGGAGAAAAAAATAATCACATGCACTTTCCAAACTAATTTATTCAAAATTCTGTATTAAACACAGAGTATCGACTATTTTTATTTTGTATAAGCTTTAAGAAACACAAAGAAAAAATATGGGATTTCCACATTTAAACACATTTTAAAAAAATCATACCCACAAGGAATACGGGATTTGTACTTCATACAAACAAAATTTTCCACAAGAAAAATATTTTGCTGCAAGCTTCATAGGTTTTGTTAAACTCAAAGACCTAAATTAAGCTGTAATTAAGGAAAAAGCTTACAAAACATTATTGGAAGTCCGTGTGGCTTAATCACGCCTGCCAAAAAAGCAATTTCATAGCACTGACATTTCAAAATGGGAAGTCTTATTCTGTGCCTATAAATATTCATGTTTTGCTCTGGGAATATGTTAAATCTTATAAAGCTTTTTATTTTTTGGAACAGTGGGAAACACAACAGCTAGAACAGTTAACAAGGCAAGACCTACCAGTGTTTTGCTTTATTTTATTTTATTAGTGATGAAAGTTGAGTTCCCTAAAGTGCTGTAGAATAACTTAAAAGAAAACCTCAGAGCTCATAGTGCCAACTAAAGACATACAAACAGCACATACAAGACCAAAGAGGAATGTGTCTGCAACATACTGGGGAGTATTTCAACATATATCCGCAGTCATATCACTGTGCTTTGAAAAGATCAAGATCACCGTGCAAATTTGCACATTCAATATATTCTCCAAAGGTTCGCTCAGCACCGTTTCATATTCACAAGCCAGCTAACAAGACTAACACACACTGTGAATTAACTGAGCATTCGGGGTTAGATTCAAAGCCCATTGCAGTAACAGAAGTCCTTCACTGGCTTCAAAGAGATTTGCACAAAGCCTTTAAACCCTGAGGAACAGAGAATTACTGCCTTGCTCGTGCACTTTGCACTGCCCAAATACAGTTTTGAATCCCTGGCCGCAGGAGAGATGCTGCCACCACTGCAATATTTCATCCTCCCAGCCGCTCTTTGGAGAGGACCAGTATCACTTGGAGCACGCAGAAATAAGCACCTCTCCTTAACGCATAACAGCAAATGCAGGGAATTATTTCATTAGGGGCTTATCTGCAAGAGGAAGCTGTTGACAGCACGTGAGTCACCCTGCTGCAACAGCGTGAGGAATGGCAGAGAGGAAAGCAAAGGCAGCTACATCCCACTTCAGAAGCATTACTACCGGTCTTCCCAGGCAGTTAGCGCTGCTGAGCTCTGTGCTGCAAATTTGCCCCCAGAGCACAGAGCATCAGCTTCTCAGCATGGATGACTCCCAGGTGGTGCTCGGGACACCTCTGGCAGCTGAGGAGCAAGACTGGAGCGGGTTGTCACACGGGAGTGTAAATTGAGTTTCATGTTCTCTCTGTTCCTCCCCTGCCGCTAGCTGCAACCCCCTGTTGGCCATCAATCCGTGCGTGGCCTGCCTAAGTGTCTAGTTACAAAAAAATAATGTATTTCCTTACAAATAAAGTATTTGTATTTTACAAAGAAAAGCAGTGAATTACTCTGAAAGCAGCCAAGGCAAAAGCAACTAATAAGAAGGATGGGATCATGGCTGGTTTACCAAAATGGGATGTAATGGTCTGATTTACTGTCCCAGTTCTGTCACAGTATAACTCGGTAGGAACCTTTGAAAGTTGCTTCCTTTAACGCCACTTTGCATCTCCATTATATAAATTTCATTTTCCTATGAGGACACATTCATAAATATTTATAAGGTGCTTAGACATTACAACAAGGAGTTCACAGGAGAATAAACAAAACCTCGGGTTTAGATTCTCTCCTACACTGTGTCTTACACAGAAACATCAACACCAACTAATGTTGTTATTTTTTGTTTCTTTTTAAACAAATGATCATTTTTTCCCTAGTTGAGATACAAGCATTTCACAAGAGTAGCATTACTGAAGCTCTTAGTGAAGACAGATGTCTAACATTTCATCGCTTCATGGTCCCCTGCTAAATACAGAACAGACTGGCGAGACACCTCGACTATTTGACACAAAAAAGGCAGCATCCTGTTCAGAACAATTTTTTCTTCATCATTAAGTATCATCTACACATTATCCATTACATATTAATCCATCTGGAACTGGCCAATTTAGTAACTTAGATATTAACATTTGCATAATTGCAGGCACGGTACCAGTATGAACTAAAATCGGCAAAAAAATAGCTTCTCCCTGAACTCTGTTACAAGGTTATTCCACAAGCAATGGTCCCAGCATTTCGGCTCCTACCTCATCATGTCTCACAGCACACCTACCTTTATCTAAATGCCCAGAAACCAACGACCACACTTATCATTACAGTAAAGCTATTACAGTACCACTATCTTTCTTTCCAATGTCCAAGTTTGCCAACAAAAGATCAAAGAACAGATTATTCCTTCCATTATCAGATGGAGAAGGAAATTATTTTGAGGAAAAAATTCCCACTGGTGGTCTTTTCCATTAAAATCAATGGTTTCTCATCAGTGTGGAGCCAGCAAGAAGTATAAAAAAAAAAAAAAATTTCATCTTTAATACTCATAAGAACCAAATGCGAAGGGCACAGAAAGACATTATTATTATTATTATCACACATGCAGACACAGACTGAGGAAGTGCCTGAACAGAATCAAAGGAAATTATGAGGAAAAAATTCCCACTGGTGGTCTTTTCCATTAAAATCAATGGTTTCTCATCAGTGTGGAGCCAGCAAGAGGTATAAAAAAAAAAATAATTTCATCTTTAATACTCATAAGAACCAAATGCGAAGGGCACAGAAAGACATTATTATTATTATTATCACACATGCAGACACAGACTGAGGAAGTGCCTGAACAGAATCAACTATATAGCCTTACTAACTAGAGAGTAATCATTGACAAGGACTGGCAACAGCCACAGCTCCGGCTGAAAGCCGCATCTGTGATAATACAGCTCTGACCACCAGCCAAAGTTCACCAGGACTGAATAATGCTTTTCCTTCCTCTGAAACACTGGACTGAAGTCACTTGGCAGCAAACATCAGTCCAGAAAGATGACTTATTTGTGACAGCATGGCAAGTCCTATAGCAAGTGTCATCCTATACACACTGAGGCCAGGAGCTGTGTTACCTCCCCTCTAACCTCAGTGCAAGGCAGAGTAGCCACAGGTTGGTTGTAACGTGTAAATTATGATCAATCTGTTGCGGTGTTTACTTGTTTTGGACACTGTATTTTAAAAGAAATTAAACAGAAAAGCCAGCTCAATGTTGCTATGTTAACGTTAAACAAGAAAGGTATTTCATATCATATCTTCTTCCAGGGGTGGGAATATATTTCTTTATGGCACTTTCAGTCCTTTGGGTTGTGCGTTCCATCTTTCCCATGGATTTCTGGAAGATACAGCTTGCAACAACTTCTTGTGCATGTTAAAAATTATCCACGTTCTTTCCAGCCTTTCTATGGCAAACTGGCATTTTCCATCTGATCCTTCAGTCCCTGGCAAGCCACTGTCACCCAACATGACATAAAATACACTTGTGGTTTCAGCACTTCTGTGCTTGCAAACATTCAAACCTTTAGCAAAAGCCAAGATGCTCTGAAGAGCTCCTTATTTCACCCTAGAGACTCGCCAACACCAGTGTCAGTATGACAAAACTGTCCTCAAGAAAAATGCTGAGCCTTTGCCCCTTCATAACACAGCTGCAGCCATCTGACATGTACAGATGTCTCATGTCAAAGGACATGAAGATTAATCGATGTCATCTTTCATGCAGTGTCCTGAACACACAAAAACATCTGAGTATTTTGACATTGTTGTTTTCAA